AACAACATCCCGCGGGGCCAGGGTGCTCAGGCATGTGGTGATGTCTAGCCCAAGCTCCTCTTCTACAATTTGTCAACCCCGCCCTTCCCTCCATCCCCTCCCCTTCCCCTCCTTGCCCCTCATTCTTCGTTTGTACTCCATACGTGTACCATATGTTCGGAAGCTATCAAATTGTTGCTTTGTTTGCAATTGACAGGAATTATTAGGTGGGGAGGGGAGGAAGGGGGAGGGGGGGGGGCGGGACCGGGTGTGCCAGATGTTTTTCAGGTCCGGCTGAGAGAATCCTGAGTTACGGGGAATCCTTAATCCGAATGGGTTACCATTATCCAGTGATCTATAAATTTCGTAGAATTATTGGCTCCAAGGAATCCTTAATCGGGCGAAGTCTCGAGCCAGCTCAAGGTTTTCTTGGGTCTAATAGTTTTGCGAAATTTACGGATTCCGAAATATTGGTAGATTCATTCGGATTAAGGATTCCCCCGCAACTGAGGATTTTTCGGATCAAAATATCCTTGGATTCGATTGTGCCAAATTTGCTTGGGTTTCCACAGTTGAGTCGAGGGATTTTTGCCGGGAATTCTTAATTCAAATGAATCACCATTATCCAGGGATCCGAAAATTTCGTAGAATTATTCGCCCCAAGGAATCCTTAACCGGGCAAAACCTCGAGCGATATTAAGGATCTCTCAGAGCTAATAATTCACTCCGGCCAAAAAAAATCTGCGAATTTCCGGATACAGATAATCCATTCGGATTAAGGATTCCCCCTGCAACTGAGGATTCTTCGGAACCGATATTTCTTGGCAACGAATACTATCCCCCCCCTCCCCTCCCCGCTTCTTGCCGTTTTTTGCATAAAAGCGCTCAAATTTTGATGAGCTTTATAATCCCCTTATTTTCCGGGGTATTTTTATTCATTTTCAGGAATTCTCAGGAGGTGGTGGAGCGGCGACTACTTTACGCCGGTTCCCAGCGACATCGATGGACGGAGAAGAAAGTGCGCTAAGTTCTGACTTTCCGGCTAGTCTTCTCAGCTCTGATGCGCCCGAAACTTCAGCTGATGGTAATCTAAGTAATTTTTGTGGGGATTTTTTTTTGCCTGTACTTTTTTTGTTCAAAAATTTTGCCAGCAAGCAGTTGCTATTTACATTTGCTACCATTCGGGCTACTTCTTGAATCCCCCTGCTTCTCACCGAGGGCCAAGGAGGGACAGGGTCTTGACTTTCGACTTTGACTTTTTGATAAAATTTAAAAAAAAACCTTCACTTGATGAGTTCAAGTCCCGTGATATGATAAGAAATGGCACACATTTATCGAATTGGAAGGGGGAGGGGGTATTTGGCCCAGGAAAGACGTGCCTGACATAGCTACATGCTGCATGTGTGTGGGAGCATCTCAGTAACCAATGACTATCAGTAAAATCACTATAAACTATCATGGTTGTCCATACACACACACACCATCTGTTCAAGCAATCATGATAATTTATCGTGGTTTTCTTACACCTCAATTAGTTATCTTTTTCTTTTTTTAAATTTCACTTTTGCTCACCACTACAGACCTAGTAGGCCATCCCAGTCGTTAAACCGGAAACCCTTCTACGTCTGCGATACGCAACCAAGATCCTATTGCTGGGCAGTTTTGCCCATGGCATAGCGCGCCTTCCCCTTCAGATATGTATAAATCTGAAAGGGGTATATTACGGATACATAAGCGTTTATCTTAAATGCAGTGTTACGATCTCAGAAATAGGAGACGAATGAAGCCAGAACCTGCACCTTGCTTAGAAGATACTAGACTTGTCTGCAGGCTCTTTTATATGCTTTTTTTTGCATGTCACATAAGTGAAACAATTTGATTTAAGCAATAGAAAGTTATATTAACGGCGAATGAAATAAGAAGAATCAAAAGGGAAGGTGATGGGAAGGAAATTTACGAAATTAATAAAATTATTTTTAGTGGGTAAAAAATGTTTCGGTCCATTAAGTCGTATAAATTTCTGACCATTACCACAATTGGGTCTCGCCAGTACGATGGATGTGCTGGTGGAAATCAAATTTTAATTTAAATTAATTAGTTTTAGTAAGTACTGTCAGCCACCACTAGCCTTTTTCACCTGAATATTTGAATCAGCTAATACGCTTTCAACAACACCAGTAACTCACCCGGTAATCCATGCAGAGGGTTAATGGTAATGGAATTTTTATAAACTGATGGTTAACAATTGGCCCTTATTCCTGGTTTCTCGTTTCCCCGCTTTTTTCCCAATTATTCCGTAGAGGAACGCTAAATTTTTCTCGCTCTCCCTCTTTGTCAGCCTTCCAACAACCTTCCTTTTCTACCTCTCCCTCGTAACTACCTCTTTTTTTTTTCAAATTTTTTAGATTTTCAGATTTTTTCCAAGTTTTTTTCCAAGATTTTTAAAATTTCCAAAACTTTGGATGCACAAAAACTAGGACCCTAGTGTCAGATGGTCATGCCTCTTGATGTGAATGATAAAAAAAGGAGATATTCTTCAGTCTTTGGACAAAATGATGAAAAAATTGCAGGAGGGAATGCTGTTGCTCGATCGGCCTCTCAAGTTCGACGAGTTAATCGGGCCTGTGTTGTGGGCGCAGCGAGAAATAATGCCGAAGTTGCTGATTTATTGAGAGTAACACTTTTATTAAAATATCGAATTTTTTTAATCTTTTTCTTTTTAAATATCTGTCGTACTAAATCACATACCTTTTTTTTCTATCTCACGCATTATGTGCGTGTTTTGCTGCATCACGTACTCTTATTCATAATATAGTTCCATACAGCTGGCAAATTTTGCACTTACATTGACCAAAATTTTGCATCCCCTGATGGTCAGCTTGCCGCTGAAGATCCTGACATTCATTTCATCTCCTGAGGGGATTATCAACTGTTCGGTTCTTCTGAAAAAAGTATTTGGCAAAATTTTGTCCTTCTTTTACGTGCCTCACTTTGTTCCCTACCTCTTCTCCCTCCATTGATTTTCCCTCAAAAGTATGGAAAAAATTAGAAAAGACTGACTGTCCAATTAATACATGTGAAGTAGCTTTTCCCCCTCCTTTAAGTTTTCCTCGGAAACAAGAAAGTTGAGAGGGGGGCGGGGGAAGGAAGAGGAGGAGGGAGAATGCTTTCCTAATTAATAATACATGTGAAGAAGCTGGCAATGCTAATGTACAAATATCACACTGATTCGATGTGAGGCTGTTATGTCATTTTATATTTGCAGACTCATTTTGGTGTTGCTCTGTTTGAAAGCGAAGATGGCAATGAATTCCTGAAAGAACCGAATATTGTCTTTGTGTGCGACGATTTTACGAACTGCTATCGATTCCGGTATCTTCGTTCATGCGGAAAGCCAATTATTGGTCCAGCTCTGATCCGGAAACGTGCCGTAGATGGCAAGGTATTTCCAATTAGTAAATTTTTTTCGCATTTGCTTTCTCAAATTTGTTTAATTTCGGCAGAATCGATGCGGAATAAGGTGGGAATCATCAGCACAGTGTGTGCCGTTTCCATCGTCTACGAAATGGGGCACTGTACTGATGATTCCCGTCCCATTCCGCACCGATCCTGCCGTCTCTGTTTACAGCTCAGAGATGAAACACAGACAGACTGCCAAGTCACTGCACATACAGGCATGCTTATTTGGGAGATCTAAATGGCATTACTTCCAGTGTTTTCATTAATTATCAAAATTCGATTGTGTTCCTCTCCACGGTGGGCCAACAAACGCCAAACAAACTGCATATGTTAACACATAGACGTGATTTAAGGCCCCCGTCCTCTTCCAATCTCCTAGCCAAGGATATTCAGTGTTTGTATCTTTAAAATTTCTGCAACACTTAGTTTTTTTCATAATATCCTCCTTGGCGTTTATTTTGGACCAAATCACTTTTTGGGTAAATTGATTTTGCCGTGAAATTTGTTTTTTTTTAATTTTTTTGGCTTGTTTTTTAATCGGTTTTTAATGAATTTCAGCCATTGCTGATGCCTCGTCCGAAACGTCCACTCTACGTGGACAGCATGGAAGGTGTTCATATTACGTTATCGGGACTTTCCTCAAAAGATTGTTGTGAAGCAGTTGATCTTGTACATTTTATGGGTGGTTGCGCACGACGAAATTTTTCTCCCTCAACGACACATCTGATTACGGATAAGGCCAAAGGACGAACTTACAGAGTATGCATTACTTTTTTTTTTTGGGATAATTATAGTCGATTAATTAGCAAAAGCTATCATTTCCTGTATTAAATAATGGAAATGATAAATTTATATAAAATATGAAAAATGTTAGGAAATGAATGAAGAGGAATGTTTCGGTCCATTAATAAAAAGATATATTAACAACGGATGAAATAAGAGTAATCAGAAAGGAGGATAAGAGATAAGAATTACAAAATTTGTAAATTAGTAAAAAATTAGTAATTTTAATGGTAAAAAAAATGTTTCGGTCCATTAAGTCGTATACATTTCTTACCATTACCACAATTGTTACAAAAATTTTTATTCGGTACCAAAACTGGACGTCGTCAGTACGACGGTTGTGGTGTTAATAAATTAAGGATAATGTAAGGGGGCAGTGTGAATCTAAGTGTGTACAAGGTGGGAATATCTGTGAGGGATATGGGATATAGAAAATAAGGAATGAAATGTAAATGACGAAGAAATAAAGAGATAAATAATAAAACCACTATAATCTCGATGCAAGCAGAGGACCGACCTTTCCTCATTGGGGATGAGAATCAAAGCAAATTTGGTCCAGAAGGATAACAAAATTAATCAAGCGGACAATGAAATTGGTTTTGTAAAAATAGTATTTTTGCGAAAATCCAAAAATCCATGATTCAGCACCAAAAAAGTGACTTATTTGGGCAATTGAAGTGCGAAAATGTGATAATTTCGAGACTTTGAAGTTGAAAGTTTCTTTCGAGCTTTTCGTGGGTTATGGGTTTTCCCCCAGTTTTCCTTTTTTTTGGCGCTAGCTGCGTAGTTCGAGAACGAAAGTATGGGATAACGGGTGTTTCAAGGGTCTTAATTAGGACTTCTTTTTTGTAATAAAAAATTTTTTTTACATTTTCAGATCGCTGTGACAATGGGTTGTCGTGTAATGCATTTGGAATGGTTACGAGCTGCATGGGCGCTCAGAGATTCCGTTCAAATCAGCGTCACTGACAGTTCTTTCGTCAGTTTTTATCATTTTTTTCTCCTTTAATGTAAGGTGTAATCATGATATTTAGGATGTAATCATGATACCTAAGTATTATGGTACTTGGGATGTAATCATGACACTTGAGTATTATGTTACTTAGGATACTTGGGATAATCAGTAATAATTTATAGTCTGGTCTTCCAGTTAATGCAGCTACTGCTCACTTCTCCAGCTGTTTTGACCTAACGTCGCCTAATGAGCAGCATGATGGTGATCTTGGCATTCGTTTCATTTTCTGAAGAAATTACCATTTCAGGGGTTCTTCAGGCAAAAAAAAACTTGGAAAGTCCTAGACTTCTTGGGTTGCTTTTTGGTCGATGATGATTACTGCCACTTCGTTCCAACCACTGTCAATTCTTGGCATCGATGAGAATAAGCGAATCCAGGGCGGCTTCCTGGGAGAGGGGGTGGGGGACGATTTGGTCGATTTCCCTCCCCCTATCCCTCCCTCGATGGTCGACCCTAA